GCAGTCCAAGAACTGCACTCCTTTCCTTCCTAGACCTTTGTATGTTAGGGCTCTTAGTTCACCAATACTAAGAGAGACGCGCTGGAGCTGTGGGAGAGGCATCTACATCTCAAAGGGACAGGGGAAAGGTTAATTGGGTTAAGTTAAAGCACTGTTGACCGTGCTGAGCTTTTCCAGGTGAGAACTCTGCCTTAGGCTGCTAGAAGCCCCACTAAAATTTGGTCAAGTCTCTTAAAGCAGGTGTTTGAACAGAGTGTTTGTGTTGAGTTTTTGCAGGTCTCACTAGCCCTCCAGGTGCACTCTCACATTTGAGAATCGCTGCTCTTGTAGGGTATGCCCTGGCCCAAGTACAGACGACTTAAGCAAGGAGGTACATCAAGCACAGGCTGGTGTGCTCAGTGGTTAGAGCATCAGCCCATGCCCCAAAGGGTTGCAGGTTCGATTCTCAAATCAAAGGCACGTACCTGGGTTGCAGGTTTGATCCCTGGCCTGGGTCAGGTTGTGTGCAGGAGGCAACCAATCAGTGTCTCACATCAGTGTTTTACTCTCTCTCTCTCTCCCCCTATCCTCCCTCCCTTCTTACTCTAAAAGTCAGTGGAAAAAATACCCTCTGGTGAGAATAACAAAAAAGGCACATCAATAAATGGACTCTTGCCCTAACCAGTTTGGCTCAGTGGATAGAGCATCGGCCTGCGGACTCAAGGGTCCCAGGTTCGATTCCGGTCAAGGGCATGTACCTTGGTTGCGGGTGCATACCCAGTGGGGGGTGTGTAGGAGGCAGCTGATCGATGTTTCTCTCTCATCAATGTTTCTAACTCTCTATCCCTCTCCCCTCCTCTCTGTAAAAAGTCAATAAAACATATTTTAAAAAAATAAATGGACTCCCATACACTTTTCTATGCTGTGATTTAGTTCCTTTTTCCCACGCAGGTGGAAACGGTGCATATTCAGACCTGGTGGTTGATAATAGTGTGCCCCTCTCCTTTCCTGAAGGAGAATGTTTATCATGGTTAATTTAATCATTTCTCTACTATTGCACATTAGATCTACTGGTGGCAGTTAAGTTTTAGAATCAAGAGGAGTTACATTGAGTTTATCACTGACTTAGACGAGGAAGGGGCATGTTCTTGCGATGATGTTGCTTCCGGATACAGTAGTTGCATGTGACTTGCAGTTGTCCCAGGGTTATGTCAGGTGTGGGCATTTTTGAAATTGTAGATAAGGGGGAAATGGCCTATGTGTTTTTGGCTGTAAAAAGGAGGACTATGGGTAAGCATCTATTGCTTTGTCTCCCCAGAACCTCTTTGCTACCTTATCCTCATGGTTGCAGCAGGAGCCAACCTTTATATACCTTTCCAGAGAATTTGGGGTTGAGCTGAAGGAGAGATGAAAAAGCCTGCTGGAGCCCGGCCGGTGTGGCTCAGTGGTTGAGCGGCAACCAGCAGGTCACTGTTTGATTCCCAATCAGGGCACATGCCCGGGTTGCGGGCTCAGTCCCCCGTGTGAGGCACACAGAAGGCAGCCGAATGATGATTCTCTGTCATCAATGATGTTTCTCTCTCTCCCTCTCTGAAATCAATAAAAAGTATATATTTTAAAAAGCCTGCTGCATTCAAGTACCTGACTTCCTTGTTCCTAAAGTCCATCTGCATCATCCCGGGGTTTTGTGAGACACCGCCAACTTTTTTTGTTTTTAAATATATTCTATTGATTTTCCACGGAGAGGAAGGGAGAGGGACAGAGAGCCAGAAACATTGACGAGAGAGAAACATCGATCAGCTGCCTCCTGCACGCCCCCTACTGGGGATGTGCCTGCAACCAAGGTACATGCCCCTGACCGGAATCGAACCCGGGACCCTTGAGTCCGCAGGCCGACGCTCCATCCACTGAGCCAAACCGGTTCTGGCGACCGCCAACTTTTTATAAGAAATTTGCGTCATTTTGCTTAAGCTTGTTCAAATTGGGTTTCTATTACTCACAAACATGAATCTTAACATATATACTATAGGAGAAACGTTATGTGGGACATAGGTTCTAGGGAGGGTAGAGATAACAAGCCAAAGCCCTGAAAGCAGAAAGGGACAGTAGATGTCACAGAATAGTGGTTAAAAGTGTGTGCATTTTAAAAATATATATATTCTTATTGATTTCAGAGAGGAAGGGAGAGGGAGGGAGAGATAGAAACATCAATGATGAGAATCACTGATTGGCTGCCTCCTGCACACCCCACACTAGGGATAGAGCCTGCAACCCAGGCAAGTGCCCTGACCGGGAATTGAACCGTGACCTCTTGGTTCATAGGTTGATGCTCAACTACTGAAGCACACCGACCGGGCAAAAGTGTGTGCTTTGCATGATCTCACTCATATGTGGAATCTAATGAACAAAATAGATCCAGAGACATAGAAGATTGGGACAGACTGCAGAATCTCAGAGGGAAGGTGGATCAGGGTGGGTGGGAAGAGATCAAGCAAAGAACTTGTATGCATATTTGCATAACCCATGGATACAGACAATAGGAAGGTGAAGGCCTGGGGCAGGGGTGGGGGCAGGCTAAAAGGAGTCAATGGGGGAAAAAGGGGGACATATGTAATACCTTCAATAAAGATGTAATTTTTTAAAAAGTGTGTGCTTTGCCCAGCCAGCATGGCTCAGTGGTTGAGCATCGACCTATGACTCAGGAGGTCGATTTGATTCCCAGTCAGGGCACATGCCTGGGTTTTGGGCTCGATCCCCAGTGTGGGACGTGCAGGAGGCAGCCGAGGGATGATTCTTTCTCATCATTGATGTTTCTCTGTCCCTCTCCCTTCCTCTCTAAAATCAATTTAAAAAATTAAAAAAAAATCCCTACTTATAAAGTACTATCTGGGAAAATATGTAAGGGATACAATTTATACTGATTTTTGTGGTTTATATTTATTTTCTAAAGAAGGAAGACAACTTTAATTTCACTGGCAATCTCTCATACTTGAAATAAAAAGGTGCCAATTTTTAATACAAAAAATACTCCCTACTTAATCTTGAATATTTCTGAATGGCCTCTTCCTCTATGACTGTTTGTATAAACACATGCATGATTTTTCTACCTAAATTATCAAATGAACAAGTGATCTGACATCACTGATAGTCTCCTAAAGTCACAGTATTGTGGTGATAAGAGATGTGGGAGGGACATATCCAAATGCACTTTTTTCTAAAGGTGGACCATAATCAGTCAATATGAAAAGAAATACTAAGTATGTGCAGAGGGCATATTTTGAATTCTTTTTTGTACTACATATACTACAGCTGAAATTATGAAACAAGTACTAGATATAACTTCATGTTAAGATGTGTAAAAGCATACTAATCCTCTAATTTGATGAAAACCTACTGTAAATGTATTTGGATTATGTTTCATGTAGTACATCTGACAGTATGGCTCGGGATTTTTTCTGTGAGCTTTGGAGTCAGACAGACCTGGGTTTGGACCCAGGCTTCACCATTTACTAGCTCTTGTTACCTTGGTAAATTTTTTAATCTCTTTGATTTTCCAATTTTCTGTCAAGTGTAGACAGTAACAGACCTAGTTTATAGGACTGTTTTATGAATTAAGATATCACAGATAAAAGCCTACCTAACATAGGTGCTCAGTAAATCATAGTGAGTCTGACAGTTATTGCTGATTGACAAGTGTGGAAAAGAGGTCCAACTCAAAATTTGTTGGGGCTATAAATCAAGAGATAACACAGTTTGGTTGGTCTGATCAGCCAGCATAATCTATAGGACTCAATTTTTAAAAATCTGCCAAGTTAAATTTGGTAAGTGAAGAACTAGTTTAAGCCAGATGACTGCAGTGACTCCGATAGCATTTTAATAAGATGACATACTCATTTTAACACAGCCTTTATTTTCTGTTTGAAAACAAAATTTCCAGGAAACAAAATACTTACAATGGTTGGGTACAAATGAAATAAAAATCACAGTTTCAAATAACCAAAATAAGACAGCTGCTTAAAGGCAGATCACTTGGTTTACCCCAAAAAAGAAAAGAAAAGTTAAGGTCAAGGATTAAAATGAAGTTTAACAACATTCTATATAATGCTACATTCCCCAATTAAGAAAAGAGAGTTCAGCCCTGGCCGGTGTGGCTCAGTTAGTTGGAGCATTGTCCTGTACACTAACAGGTGGTAAGTTGGATTCCGGGTCAGGGCACATATCCAGGTTGCGGGTTCAATCCCCGGTTGGGGAGTGTACAGGAGGCAACCGATAAATGTTCCTCTCTCTCTTCCCCTTCCCCTCTCTTAAAAAAAAAAAAAATCGATGAAAAAAAGAGTTCACATATACAACTAAATGTTAAATGTAGAGATGTGACTGAAATTCTGTATACTTCATAGTAAATTATGCATGAAAGTTCATTAATTGCATAAACTTCCTGAGTGGCTCCCATGCTGAACTAGGTCTACATGCTTAATATTCATATCAAACGAAGCTTTATGTGATTGAGCATGGCAGACCTTGAACAACTGCACTTTCCGATCAGTCACTATTTCTGCTGAGGGTATGTTCTGGACCACAAATCTCAATCTGAAATCTTAAAACATAGTAAAAAAGAAATGCAACTTAAAAAAAAAAACTGGAAGGATGACAAGCACACAATTAGGAATTTATTTTACACTGGCACTTTCTTTTCTCAAGAGCCCAGTTTCTCTCTTCCCTTCTTGCTTGACTTTCAGCCTTTTTAACTTTTTGAAAATGAAAAGAAAACCTACCAGAATGGGAGCTGGTGGTGTGTACACTCTGTTAGCTATCTCAGTTAAAAATAACTTCAGTGTAACCCAGTCACTATCCCAGGCCCCTGCCTATGTCGGCTGTCAAGATCTGACCAATGTTTGTGTTCATCCTTCACATGTAAAACTATCTCCGGGGTGACCTGAAAGCATTTGGCTCCATTAAAGTTTCATGCTAATTTCACTTCAAAGGATTTTAGCAAGTTTGACTGTCACCATTTTATAGTCTGCTTTTTTTTTTTTTTTAAGAAAACAATGTCAATCCCAGAAATTACATTTACCAAATCAATTAATTGTCTTTTCTAGGTCCCCCGCCCCTTCTGGTTCATCGGGTGGGGAAACAATTCATCAATAAACAATGAAATGTGAACAATCTATTCCAGAAAATGGCCCACATGTCACCACAAATTTTTCTGAACCAAAAAGATGAAAAAACTGAATCCCAAACCAATGGCACATATACCTCAGGAATGTACTTGTGCACAAAGCCTGAAATACAGTATTTGCTACCATGAAATATGCTGTAGTGTTGCACACAGTAAACATGTGGAACAAGGACCATGTGGTTTACAAACATTTGCTGAGTTTTTTGGGGGAAAAAGGAATGCATCATTTCCAACACTTGGAAAAGACAGCAAAGAAAGTCAATGCCTCCAATAAACTTTAGAGATTGGAACAAGTTATCACCAACTACAATTCAAGTGAAAGCATACAGCTATTTCCAGGTAACAAAACATTACTGCAAATATCTCGCAGATGCTAATATGCTGAATGACAGGCCACCGATGTAGGATTTGTCAAGCTATTTCACTGTGGTAGTTAGTTAAAACAGTTTCACCCATAGCCCTTTAGGCACACAGATAAGAAACGCATCTCTAATAAAAGACGCAAAGTTACAGGCACTGAACTGTCTAATTTGGGTACTTTCTTATCATTTGCTCATTTTACAACTAATTTCTATACTGCCACAGCTGGATTTATTTATCTGCTCTCCACTCCCAAATCCCCAAAGCTTATTTCAGAGATGCATGTGGCTCTCATCACTTAAACACAGATCGGTGGCAGAGTGATAGTCCCCCTCATCACTAATTCAGAGTTAACGCTGGGACAAAGAGGCAGGCTACATTAATAACCTGAAAGAATACTGAGAATCAAGGCAAAAAAAAAAAAAAAAGCAAGTTTCACAGGCAGTGTTTACTTGTGCACCCCCAAACAGCACTGAAAACGAGGTAGATTAACAAAAGCAACTGGACTGGAATTAAACCTGGGGTTCTAAAATGATACATCCCATCATACTCTACACTCAAAACATTCTACACTCAATCTAAAAATCGCAGCGGAAAAGTGCCTTTTAAACTTCCACAGATAATTTTGCTGTCAAACCATTAGAATTCATGCTCAATATAAAACTGGTAAGAAGAGGATGAGAAACAGAATGGATATTGGTTATATTACAGCAAATTACCTTAAACAGAGAATCAAGACTGCTACAAATATACATAGGGTAATTTCATTAGATTTACACCAATACTGGTTTCATATTCTTAAGATGTTACACCCAACTTCACAAACATAGCAGCAGGTAATTCATGAAGAGATGCTCACATTAGCACATATGGAGGTACAGTACTATTCGTCAGACTTGCATTTTGAGAAGTAAACATGGTGGCTGGACATTCAGACTACCCCCCAAAGAAACGGTACAAGCAGATGACATAATACAACCCTTTTCTCTCCCACAAGAAGGAAAATGAAAAGGACAGTTTGTTTTTGGGAAGTGGGTAGAAGGCCCTTGTTATACAGTAGGCTCTTGGTTAAGTAAGAAGGGAATTTCTGAGCTTTACCTCAAGAATTAATTATTTCTGGGTTGGAAAAGTACCTCAGCAAGGATGCAAACAGCACTATTATATGATTTAGCAAAAAGTTAGGAAATAATGCAAAATCCCTATATAGAAAACTAGCCAATATTTACAGTCAAAGTGACTATAAGCTGAATCAAACATTTAAGTAATGGAAAAAATAAATAAAAACCCCACAGTGACGTGAATAACACTGTTTTCTTCATTTCCACACAAAGTCACTTTTTTTGCATTTTTAAACTTACACACACGTTACATATACACAATGTATACATAACATATATGTTAACCCAACCACTGCAGTCAGCATGGACTCGGCAGTACACTATTCACCATCTTCAAACTTTAGAAGACTACTTTTCTTTCCAGCAAAAAATCTGAAAAGACTCTAAATACTACAAGGCACTGCAAAAGTCTGCAGGCAAACAAATGATGAATCAGACATAAAACAGAGGTGGTGGCAAAACGTGGGGCATGTGATATAGAGCAGCCATTAGTAAATGTAATTGTGCATATTATCCATGGAGCTTTTTTCATCTTGGGGTAGGTACACTGTTTAAAAGAATTGTGACTAGAGCCCTGGCTAGTGTGGCTCAGTTGGTTGGAGAGCTGTCCTGGACCCTGAAAGGTGGCAGGTTTGAGTCCCGGTCAGGGCACATACCCGGGTTCCATCTGCAGTCAGGGTGCATACAGGAGGCAGACCATAGATGTCTGTCACTCTCCATCTCTCTTTCTCCCTTCCTCCCTCCAAAAATCAATTTTTAACAAGAAAAAAAAAAAAGAAAAAAAAAGGATTTTGACTAGAGAAGAAGGGACCTTAAAACCTGCAGTATTTTCACTTTCTGGATCACTAACCAGTGGTCCACGAGGTCTGAAAGGTTGGCGACCGCTGTTCTAAGTTATAAGCCTCAATGCAATCACACAAATCCAAATCATCTAATGAAACACGAGCAGTTTGAAAGAATTACAAATTTTAGGCACATTGTTTTTGTATACATGGTAAACACTACAATGCAAGCATTTGCATTACACTACTGTCCTAAAATCACTTCAACTCGCAAAGCAATACTGTGTAAGGAATTTGAAGAATTTGTACATAAGATTTAGGAAGACTCATCCAAACTAGCATGTCATATGAAAAGAAACTTTGGCTTTTACCAACAGCAATTCTCAAAATGCTACCCTATATGCCCCAAATGATAGTGACAGAATCTTCACAATGGTGAGGGCAATCCTCAGGTAAGCAGTATAAGACATATATCTATTTAGAAAGGGCACTGAATGTCACAAAGTAAACGGTGCAAAAAAAAAAAAAGTACACCCATTAAGTTTGCTTCATTACCTGGCAGGCTCATGGGCTAAAATTTGTAGTGGAATATGGAAGAAAATCTGTTAACAGAAATATTGGGTGATAATTTAGAATGTTTACCAGTAGACAGAACTTGTTCTTAAGGTAAATGTGCACTAGACACCACCTTGAAATTGTCAAGAGTGAAAAGTATTTTAAACATGTGTATGTGGCGGTGGGTAAATACCATTTACGAATTTTGACTCGGGTTTCACAGACTGAGTATTAGGTAACTCTGTGACCAGCTTTTTAAGATGATTATAGTTAACCTTCTTTGAAAACCAAAAGTGTATATTTTGACATTGCCTCCCCTCCTCCTTAAACTGGATAAAACCCAGTAAAGTGCAACTTGACAGTGACCTCTCGCAGATTCTAAAGAGGATGCAAAAATAATCTAAGATCTAAAAACAAGAGGCTATAGATACTAAGTAGAAATTATAACAACTAAAAAAAAGGCAATAAAAAAAAGCTAAGGGCAATTAAATAGTATACTTCGAGGATCTACTATTTCACTGCAGGACAGTGTATACCCCACATCTCTTAGAACCCTGTAAAGCCAGTGTTTCATGTGTAAGTCTTGAAACCTACAAAACCTACTGTGTCAAGTAAATTTCACGTCGGAAGAATGGGTCAATAGAGGTGTGACTTGAATCCTCTTTGTCAGGAATACAAAGATTCCCCCCAAATGAGATTCATATCAGCTGCAATATATCCCTTGCAAAAGAATGCAAGCCAAACCAATGCCTCTCAGATGCTCAAAAACAACGCAGTGTGCACATGAGAAACAAGGAGACAGCTGCTTTGAATTACTATGGAAATCCTAAAACAGCTACATTATCTGCAGAATCAAGGAACTGTTACAGTTCTGTTTTTATCCTTTCTTTCCGCCTCACCTAGAACAAGGCTTCACTCCTACAGCTGTGAAGACGGGAAGAAAATCACATTAAAAAGGGCTCATGTTCTATATTAGTTGACAAAAGTTATTCTAATTTTATACACCAAAACATTTCCTGCAGCATTACCCTGCCTTCTGGGAGAGGTAAACCTAAGACAAACATGTGAAGAATCCCACAAGACTCCGGTTGTCGGAGGATCTCACTCTGTCCACATGGGGGGAATATCAATTTAAACAGTATTTATACATTTTAAAGAAAAGTATCATCCAGCTGCGGTTGGCAGCAGTAAAAAAATGGAGGCTTTTCAGCAATTCATGGTAAGTGTCCTGGAAATGGTAATGCTCAAGCCGAGCTCATTTAAAGCATTCTGAAGAGTATTTTTAAAAAATCAAGTATCAAAGAGGATAGGATTTGAAGTGAAAAACATTTCTGTGCGCAGTGTTCTATGTACAAACTGCACAGTTCTACAGAATGACGAGCTATATCAAAGACTACATCGGAACCCCCAAAAATACAGTGGAAAGTAAACTCAAAAGAGGAAAAGATGGCAGAACCCAAGAAGAAGAAAGTTTAATATCTTAGGTGTCCCGGAAATAACTCTGAAGAAAAGCTCCCTTTTCTTCATTCATCATTTACTCTGATTCATTTGGGACCCGGAGGGTTCGTGGATGGATTCTGCACTGAGGACGATGAAAACGCAGGCAAATTCATTCCTGGCTGGAACGGTGGCCCTGGTTGGGTAGGTATGACCACAGGCTGTTGAGCTGGTCCGGGAATTCCTACCCACTGTACTGGATAACCGGGCCCCCCCACAGCATTATACTGACAGACATGGGACACTCCATATGATGGTAATGGCCCCGGAAACGAAGGGAGTGGGAGTCCTTGTGGTGAGGAGGTGGGAACAGCTCCACGGATTTGGGGCAGAGAAGAAATCCATGTTGGTGTGTAGCCCAGAGCAGATGGAGCATTCTAATGAAAACAAAAATAAAAGATCAGTTTATTTGGCAGAAGCTTTTACCCATCTATGTTCCTTCCTATTCTTTTTGGCTTACTGCTCCCATGATTACTATGAGGGGCTACCATTTTTGCAGCGCCTTCTGTGCGCTAAGCATAGTTACATACCTTGTCTATTTCATCTTCATAACTGCCCTGCAAGGTAGGCATTTTCAGATGTGGAAAAAGAAGCTCAAAATTGATAACAGCTGACACACTAAGCAAATTCATAGTGAGCTGAGGATTTGAACAATGTTCCAGCTAACTCTAAGGGCCCTGCTAAATCTCTGTTCAGTTTAGTGTCTCCTGCCCTCACGCTAGCATTACTCTTCTATTTTTATTTCCTTCTGCCAGTCTCGGGCATTCCCTTATTCAGCACCATACACAATAGCCCATCTTACTATATTACATAATTCTTTGAAGACAGGAGAGCATGATTTAGTATGGCATGGGGGAAAGAGCCTAGGATACAGTAGGTGCTCAATAAATGTCACCTCCCTACCCCCTTCTACTCACTGTCTTTAAATAAAGTCTGACATTTCTGTTACATTTTTGGAAATTTAAACTCAAGACAATTATGCTTTTGGCAATACTGAGGAAATATATTCCTGTCTGACTCTTATCATATTGTATTATGATTAAGCATATGTATAAAGATTACTGAAATCTTATGCACATGGGACTAATAAGTCTAATGGAAGTAAATAATTCTCACTCAAAGGCGAGATTGATATCAGTTCCAAATGCTTAGTTCTTTCAGCCTGCGGACTCAAGGGTCCCAGGTTCGATTCCGGTCAAGGGCATGTACCTTGGCTGTTGGCACATCCCCAGTAGGAGGTGTGCAGGAGGCAGCTGATGGATGTTTCTCTCTCATTGATGTTTCTAACTCTCTATTCCTCTTCCTTCCTCTCTGTAAAAAATCAATAAAATATATATTTAAAAAAAAAAAAGAATGACAATATCTCTTTGAGGTGAAAAAACCCCCAGACATTTGCTTAAGTTTCAGCAATCCCTTTTCATATCAGTGTTTTTGTTCTGTTAAAGTAAAACTGAATTTAACACTTCTGATTCAAATGAGCACATACAGTATGATTGCATTTTTATACATATACTTGCATTTTTATGCATATACTTGCATTTTTATGCATATACATATGCATTTTTTATACATATACTAGGGTCTCTAGCGGCTGCAGGCTGGGGCCTCCTTTCCTTCCCCTGGCCGGCCCTGCCCCCTGGTCAAATTCCTGGACAACTCTAGGTTGAGGGGACAATTTGCACACTATGCTTTTATTATATAGGATTTCCATGTATCCCTATACAGACATAGAAAGATACCTAAAATGGTGTTTATCTAAAGCTAGTGACAATTATATTTGGGTGGTGGGGTTTGAAGGCAGTATTTTAAATTTTGTACTTTTCCACATTGATTAAATTTTATAACAAGCATTTTATGAACAATAATGTGACTTTATTTTTTAAAATATATTTTATTGATTATTTTACAGAGAAGAAGGGAGAGGGATAGAGAGTTAGAAACATCGATCAGCTGCCTCCTGCACACTCCCCACTGGGGATGTGCCCGCAACCAAGGTACATGCCCTTGACCGGAATCGAACCCGGGACCCTTCAGTCCGCAGGCCAACGCTCTATCCACTGAGCCAAACAGGTTAGGGCGTGACTTTATTTTTAAAAGACTGAATTGGATATTTCAAAAGCATCTCAGGCCCTGGCCGGTGTTGCTCAATTGTTAGTGTTGACGTGCGCACCAAAGGGTCGCAGGTTGTATCCCTGATCAAGGGCACGTAACTGGGTTGTAGGTTTGATCCCTGGCCCCAGTTGGGGCACATGCGGAGGCAATTGATGGATGTGTCTCTCTCACATCAATGTTTCTCTCTCTTCCCCATCCCTTCCACTCTCTAAATATCAAACACACCCAGGCATGTGCCCTGACTAGGACACCTAGGTGTACAGGATGACTCTCAACCAACTGAGCCACACCAGCCAGGGTTTTAATTCTTATAAATAAAGAGAATTGGGTATAAACAACTTACTTCATGTACTTTGTTCCAGTTGTCAGTCTCTAATTTGTGTTGACTCTGTTTAAGTTGGTTTAAACTTGGCTTAATAAGAGAATTTCCAACTGTTTCCTTTGTCCAGTCATCTACCAATTTGTGTAAGTCATCTGTGAACATCCCTTTTTTACTAGCTGGAGATTGCTGGCTTGATGCTGTATTACTCTCCGCACACAGTGGATCTATAAGGAAAACCAGGGAAACCATGAAGAGGAATTAAAAATGATAAATACTCTTATTTGAACACCAATGCAATTGACAGAGTAAGCAGACATTTCAGTTTAGCTGGGGCAGTTCTGGTTTAAAGCTGTTGTCCTGAAGTAATTACTAACAATACTCCTTACATTCTCAAACATTTCCTCTTGTCTGGACTGCAAATAATATGTTCGCCTTAGGTATAAATCAAGTACAATAAATAGTAATGTTGCTTAAAAAATTAGCATCAACCCTAATCTTTTCATCAGATAGATACTTAGAAGAGTTAAAAAAACAATCATAGAATGTCAAAAGTAGAAAGAATCTTAGAAGTCTAATCTAAACCAGTAGTTTTATAATGGGGAGAAGAGGCCCAGAAAAATAATTGACATGCCTGGGTTAACGCAATTAGTTACCATAGAGCCAGGCCTGGAAATATGAAGCTGAGACAGGAACTCTCTTTTCAGTATACCAGCTAGGGCGAAAATCTCCCTATTTTAAAGTTCGTTGAGCCCTGGCTTGTTTGGCTCAGTAGATAGAGCACTGGCCTGCAAACTGAAGGGTCCTAGGTTCGATTCTGGTCAAGGGCATGTACTTCAGTTGCAGGCTTGTTCCCACGCTACCACGTGCAGGAGGCAACTAATCAATGTGCCTCTTTCACATCGATGTTTCTCTCTCTCTCTGTTGCTCCCCCTCCCTTCCACTTTCTCTGAAAACCAAAGGAAAAATATACTTGGGTGAGGATTAACAAAAAAAAAAAAAATAAAATCCACTGATTAACACCCTTCATTCCACCTACAACTTCAATTCCACTTTGCCATATAAATGAACATAGTCACATGTTCTAGGGATTTACACACAGATGTCTTGGGGTGGGGGGTGACCATCATTCCATCTACCACAAATTCTATTGAAATCTCACATACATCCTTAACGTACACCTTCAACTTCCACCTTGACTTTGCACATATAACCAAGGAAGTCTGACTTAACTAACAACTTCTTTATTAGTTAAATAGAGACTGATCCTTAAAAAAAAAAAAAAAAAAAGTACACCCCTAGCTGGGTTTGCTCAGTGGTTAGAGTGTTAGCCCTCCAACTGAAGGGTCATGGGTTTGAGTCTGGTCAAGGGTACATACCTCGGTTGTCGGCTCCATCCCCAGCCCTGGTCTGGGAGGGTACTAGAGGCAACCAATTGGTGTGTCTCTCATGTTCATGTTCCTCTGTTTCTCTCTCCCTTTCTTCCATGCTCTCTAAAAATCAATGGAAAAAATATCAAGTGAGGCTTAACAAAAAAAAAGTACATTTTCTAATATTCTCATAAGTAATAAAGATCTTGTATCAGATAGAACATGACTATAATTTTAAGGTTAACTTTGTTGGCAACACACAACAAACTCTAAATGTTAAACCAGCAGTTCCCATTAATTGCTAAAATTTCAAAAAGTACTTGGGGACTGAAATTGGGCCTTAAGGTATTTGTTTTCCAAATAAAAACATGAAATACATTAATCTGCTCTCCAGAATCTCTCATCTATCCTCATCATTATTTCATAAAAGAACATTTAACACCAAAAAAAGTAGAAAAGAATCTCAGATTGTGCACATTTTCAAATCATCTTAGCTTAATAAAAAATACATGATCATTATTTTTCTCATTTTGCTGATCTTTGACCAGTTTTTTTTAAAACCATTTTTTAAAATCGATTTACCTGTAGCAGCTGAATCACTGTCCACCTGTGTCAAGGACTGGGGGCGGCTTCGAAGTTTGCTTCTTAAAGATCTTGGTCGACGCGATGGGGATGCGGATGGCAGAGAAACCACAGATGACTGATGTTTGCTATCTTTAATTGCCCGGAGGCGATCATAGAGATCCTGAAGCTCCTTATTCTGCTGGGTTTGAAGATTTATTACCTCCTGAATATGTCTACATAAAAATGAGGCAGAAAGCGTTTTAATGGTGCTGGTTCCATACAGATGAGCTAAAAAAATGCCACACCAGTACAAGTAAAGTTTAACAAGGAATTTAGATGAAGGATGTGGATATACAGAATGTTTTCACAATTTTAAAATGGGAAATGTCTTTTTTTAAAAAAAATAATTTTATTGATTTTTTACAGAGAGGAAGGGAGAGGGATAGTTAGAAACATCGATGAGAGAGAAACATCCATCAGCTACCTCCTGCACACCCCCCACTGGGGATGTGTCCACAACCCAGGTACATGCCCTTGACCGGAATCAAACCTGGGACCCTTCAGTCCGCAGGCCGACGCTCTATCCACTGAGCCAAACCAGCTAGGGCAGGGAAATGTCTTCTTAAGCATATACTTAAACTAATCAGACATAAAGAAGAAAGGTCAACAAACTGACAGGAATAAATTTCTAAAACTTCAATATAGTGAAAAATGGCAAAAGAAAATTTAAAGTCACAGAGCATTGATAATATCAAATTTTTCTTTATTATATAATGCAGGTATAAACAAGAAAAAAAGTATCTGCATTATATAGAAAAGGTTACTATTTAGAATATGTAAATAATTCTTAAAAATCAGTAAGAAAAAAAGAAACTATCTTTTAGAAAAGAGGGAAAGAATATGAAAAGGTGACTCCAAAGAAAAATACAAACAACAAATAAATGAGATGATGCACAACCTCACTTTTAGTTAATACAATTTTTAAAAAAATGAATTCATCTGATTGGAATAAAACTAAAAGGATCAACAATATCCAGCCCAATGTTGTTAAGAAGTGGGAAAATAGGCACTTTCATATGTTTTTGTTTGGTGTGCAAAACGGTATAGCTACATTTGATAACAATAGCAATATCTATGAATTTAAAATGTGCATATCTTTTAACACATCAATTCTACTTTTAGGTATTGAGCCTACAAAAATACTTGCATAACTGTATAAAAAATAAGGATGTTCACTTCAAGCAAAACATGGGATAAAACTGAAATGTCCATTAAGGAGAGATTAAATAAACTTTCAATGGTGATAAGCTATTTCAGTGTATGGAATAAAGATTATTTGTGCGAACATGAATATACATTGGTGACAAAGTTAAGTAAAAAACTGCAGCATAACGTGTATTATGATAAACTTTTGTCAAAAGCAAAAACTATATATTTGTAAATGAAACAGGTCACAGTGGCTGAGAAGTTATCTTAGGGCATGAGAAATAGGAGATGGATTTTTGTAATTTCCGAAGTGATAAGAGCAATGGGAGAATCGTTTGTTATATTATTTGGTCTTGTGTCTTCAAATAGCTCCAGTTCCTGAAATAGCTCCAGAGTAAGAAAGATGAAAGGAGTGTCTTGTTATTCATAATGAGAAACGATGCACAACCTCACACTGGTGTCTAAGTCAATCAAGTGACTTCTGTAAAAATCCCAAGGGAACCAGCCAAGTGATTATAGGATGAGAATTTTCAGCTTCCCCCGGCCCTCCACCTCTGGTGAGGGGTGCGGCTGGAGATTAAATTAATCACCTATGGTCAATGATTTTCTCAGTCACACCTATCTAGATGAAGATCCCATAAAAATTCCTGTATTACAAGGTTCGGAAAGTTTCTAGGATGGTCGGAGAGTGGCACTCATGAGAGTGCATGAAGTTCCATGTTCCTACCCCCATACCTTGCCATTTGGCTGTTCTTGAGTTGCATCCGTTGGTGGGAACCTCCAGTTTATAACAGGCTAGTCAGAAGCATAGGTAATACCACCTGGACTTGTGATTGGCATCTGGGGCGGGGTGGGGGGGGAAGTCTTGTAGGACTGAGTTCATAACTAGTGGGATCTGATGCTGTCTTTGTAGTTTTCAATCATTACAAGGTCATCAGTCCTGCCCAGCCGGCATGGCTCACTGGTTGAGCGTCGACCTATGAACCAGGAATTCATGGTTCAATTCCTAGTCAGGGCACATGCCTGGATAGTGGGCTCAGTCCCCAGTGTGGGGCATGCAGGAGGCAGCAGATCCATGTCCCACTCTCACATCGATGTCTCTCTCTCCCTCCCACCCTTTCCTTTCTGAAATCAATGAAAATAAATATATTTTAAAATGCCACCAGTCCTAAATTAGTTAGCAACCTAACAGTTCTATAAACCCAGGGCACCCCTAGCTGGTTTGGCTCAGTGGATACAGTGTCAGCCTGCAGACTGAAAGGTCCCGGGTTCAATTTCAGTCAGGGGCACATGCCTGGGTTACAGGCTCAATCCCCAGTAGGAGGCGTGCAGGAGGCAGCTGATCTATGATTCTCTCATCGTTGATGTTTCTATCTCTCTCTCCTGCTCCCTTCCTCTCTGAAATCAATAAAAATACATTAAACAAACAAACAAACAAACAAACAAAAACAAACCAAACCCAGGGCAACTAGTTAGGTGACAAAAGAGAAACAGTTCTTACTTTTCTCGTAATTTTTGAAGCTCCACCTTCAAGTCCTCATCCTCTATTTCGGATTCATCATCACTGCTCATTGGGGAAGATGGTGAATAGAAGACCGAGTTCTCTGTCTCAGCACAGGTTTTTTCTGCTTGGAGTGGTAAGCACTGATCGCTCTCTGGATGACTCTCTGCCACAGAGTTCCCTGTGTCAGTAAGAGTGGCTGAAAATTCACCATCAGAGCAAAGCTGTTTCTCAACAGTAAGTCTCTCTCTCCCTTTGAGAGGCAGTTCAGAGCCAGACTGCATGCTATTTCCTGTAGCTGAGTTTTCTTCCAATTCTTTTTCCGGGGTTATAGAAGATCCATCAGTCTCACCAGCTGTGCTGAAAGATGAGCTGTCTCCTGGTTTAGGAATTGGTTTAACTTCCTGAAAGGTTTCATGAAGAGCTTCTAGGTTCTGAGGAGAAAATACAGTCTCTGGACTGTGCATGGCAGGTTCTAGTTCTACTACCTGAGCCTTGGCTGTTTCAGTGAAGGCTGGAGCTTCCTCACTAGAATGGCTTGGCATGTTATTGAAGGCTGACCCGTGTTGTATTCCAGTGCATGTCACTTTCTCGGCCTGCTGCTGAGGGATTGTAATCACCTGAGACACAAAAAGGCAAAAGTGGCTGGCTCCGCCTAACTAAAGAGCAAACCCACAAAGAAATTCAGGATCAACATGTGGCACAGACAAGTGGCTGTTCTGCTTGTGATGTACATATATTGATAATACCAAAGCTTTAAAATCCCATGCATCTCCCCACATTGCAAGTCTTTCTTTTTAATTTTGTTATTTGTTGATTTTAAAGAGACAAGGGGGGGGGGGAGGGAGAGGGACGGAAGGAGAGAGGGGGGAGGGAAGAAGGGAGGGAGAGAGAGAGAAACACTGTTTCACTTATTCATGCATCCATTGGTTGGTTCTTGTGGGTGCTCTGACAGATTTACCCTACAACCCTGGTGTATGGGGACGAGGCTCTAACCAACTGAGCTACCCCACCAAAGCTTCAAAGGCTTTCAAATGGTCCCCTTGGGTAAAGAACCTTGGCACTGATTGCTCAAATAAAATTCCACAATTTAAAAAAGTCCATAATTAAAGATGGCAAGATTCTAAAAGACATGAAATGGGAATTATAAAAACAGGTGACCCAACCTCCCACCACAAAATAATGAACCCTTTCTGTGTTCTCTTCCAGCTACTAAAATCCATTTTTTTTTAAAGGATGCCATTCATTCATTCACTCATTCATTTTCCATCGCTATTTATCCCCCTATATAAATCCCCATTTCTTTAGACACCTTTACTGGATGGCTTCAAAAGATTAAGGGATGCAAATTAAATATGACAATGATCTACACCAGCGGTTCTCAACCTGTGGGTCAAGACCCCTTTGGGGGTCGAACGACCCTTTCACAGGGGTTGCCTAAGACCATCGCAAAACACATATATAATTACATATTGTTTTTGTGATTAATCACTATGCTTTAATTATGTTCAATGTGTAACAATGAAAATACATCCTGCAGATCAGATATTTACATTATGATTCATAACAGTAGCAAAATTACAGTTATGAAGTAGCAACGAATAATTTTATGGTTGGGGGTCACCACAACATGAGGGACTGTATTAAAGGGTCGCAGCATTAGGAAGGTTGAGAACCACTGGTCTACACTGTCTTCAATGCTGTTGCCTGTTATAATGCACTGTAGATAAGGATTTAATGAAAAGCACAAACCTGGAACCGTCCCCGCTGAAAGGATCCACTCATCAATTTGCATCTACTCAAAGGCCTGCTATTAGCTGTGGACTCTACTGCCAGAGAAATGGGATCAGGAGCAACTGTGGATATCACATCATCTGTTTCCACTGTAAGTTTCGCCAAATTGTAAGGAGAAAAGAGAAAATTGGGTAAGACTAAATTTGTTTACATTACCAAAAAATGAAGAAAAGCAGAAAAAGCTTAACTCCGGCTAGACAATTAAAAAGTGTTACCCTAACTCTCAACCAGACATTGCAAGATTTATCCCGACTTAGTATCTATATGAAATGAAAAACTACAAAATCAAATTTCTTACAGAAGGAAAAATAAAGTGGCAATGACATTAATGGGATGTGTCACATACATGGGCTACGTGGAAAAAGTGGCAACATTTGTGTATGAAGAAAAAAACCAAAAACCAAACAGAAGTAAATGAAAAGTGATGTTACCTAGTCTAGGTCCCTGACTGTAAGCACACTACCTTGACGGACTTTTGATCTCTTGAAAAAGCTGGTTGACTGCCGTAGCCTGTATGCCCAGCTTTTTAATTTGCGAGTCCAGGATTTCTTGCTAATAGGATTTTTGAGACTAGGACAAGTAAAGCTTAGGCCAAAATATCCACCTCCTGTGTGCAGACGAGTGGCTCCACCGCTTGGCACAGCAGCAGGATGGGCCTCTGGATCCCCTGGAAGTGAGGCATCTGGGGACATCTCCTAATGGAGACAAAGAGACAAAAATCAAAATGGTAATAATTTAGATAAGGTGTAGCAGTTGGTTATACCATTGCAGTTTCTTGTATGGACTAATCGGTAATCAAAAATAGAATGCCATGTATACTTGCATTAATAGTACCATTTCAGACAGAACCTGAAGTATTCAAGCTATAGAATGAAGCCTTCCCCTTTCTTTAAAAATATTATTTAGACATCAGGCCCTGGCAGAGCTCAGTTGGTTAGAGTGTCGTCCCCATCCGACCAAGGCTGTGGGTTCAATGCCAGGTCATGGCATGTATAAAAATCAACCAATGAGTGCATAAATAAGTGGAACAAATGGCTGTCTCTCCTTCTCTCCCCCCCTCCCTTTTTCTGTCTAAAATCAGTAGATAAAAAGTATATATTATTTAGACAAGAACAGAATATGAATCTTCCATCCTAGAATATTTTCCCTTATAGCAACTTTGAAAAATTAAAATTATTTCCTTCATATGCACTAATTTACTAAAAATGGTTACTGAAACCCTATACTCTTTTTCTTCTTTTTAAGTTTTTTAAAAATGTTTTTTAAATTGATTTCAGAGAGGAAAGGAGAGGGAGAGAGAGCGACAGAAACGTCAATAATGAGAGAAAACCATCAATTGGCTGCCTCCTGCATGTCCCCTACTGGCGATCAAGCCCACAACCTGGGCATGTGGCCTGACCAGGAAACTTAACTGTGACCTCCTAGTTCATAGGTTGATGCTCAACCACTGAGCCACGCTGGCTGTGCGAAACCCTATATTCTTAAACTGAACATTTTTATTTATGCTTGTTATCTAGACATGTAGATTTACAGGAAAATATTACCAAATCAAATTTCTTACTTTATGTAAGCACACAGAAATTTACAACGGATCTCAAAATTATTTCAAATTCATGCTCTAAAAACTGTTAACATCAGGCCATGCACGGCTGGCAATAAAATCACTCTTCCCTCTTCTTGACCTCCTATCCCTCTCCTAAAAAAGCCAGAATTAACTGTTGTATTCTAAATAAGCCCTTTAAAAATAAGTTTCCTACAATAATTAACACAAAAATTAATATACACAATCAAAAATACTTTCGGAAACATGAGAATGGTCACTACTAATCTAGAAAGTTAAAAGAGTATTTAAAAGCTCAAGGAATGGAATTTAGCATTTGTCTGAAGGAATACAGCCTAAGTGTCACTAAGTATATTGCAGTCCTGGGTAAGAATGAACACTTGGGGCAGGTTAGCGGTTATTGAAAATAAAATTCTAAAGAATCAGTTTTAATTTTCCAAAATCCCATTTGGAATAGTAATAATACTACCTTCATGAAGAGGAAAAATAGTCCTAGCTGGTTTGGCTCAGTGGATAGAGCACATGTCCGGGTTGTGGGCTCAATCCCCAGTATGGGGCGTGTAGGAGGCAGCCAATCAAGGATTCTCTCTCATCATTGATGTTTCTATCTTTCTCTCCCTCTCCCTTCCTCTCTGAAATCAATACAAAATATTTTTAAAAAAGAGGAAAATATTCTCAATGATATTATAATGTAGAAAGTGTTGCATTGGTCCCACTGAAATTACAGACAAGACTTTTCATAAGTAATAACTGGATCAATGTGGTAAATCACATACAAGTTCTAGCCTCCTTTACCAATCCAAATTCACAGACACGACAGGAAAAACAGATGTAGACATATGCATATATAATTAAAGGAGGAAAAGGCAGCCCATGACATATGCAGGAACTGTTACAAGATGTTGCAAATTCGAGTGGCGGATATGGGCAGTGGGAGAGAGTCCTGGCCGACCAAGATAATTAGTGGGTGGCTAGAACACTTATAAAGTTCCACACGATCTGTCTTCTCTTTGCCTCTTCAACATCATATCATAACACCCTCCTACATGCTGGCCTTCTTTTGGTTCCTGGCACAGGTCTCCATCTGTGAATGTCACCGCCAAATACAAGTCCTTCCTTGACCACCCTACATAAAGTCATCCCGAGTCTTGCTATCACAGCCCTTTACTTAATTATTTATCTTTTTAGGGTCTATCTTCCCCCACTGGAATGTGAACAGCACAAAAACAGAGATCTTGACTTATTCAATGCTCACTGAGTGGAAGGGTAAACTGCTTGGGGTAGCAAAAAAGGAACAGCCAGGCAGTCTGGTCCTTCTCTCTCCACCTCCACAGCAAGCAAAAGACAGCGGGAGACATCTGCTCCCAAATTAAGAGTGGGAAGAGGAAAATGTGTGTGGCCAAGAGAAAGGTCAGCAATGTAGGGAGGCGACAACATCCAGGAAAAAGGGGAAGCTTGTTTACTGGGCCACCCTCTAGGCCAGCGGGTGCCAACCTTTCGGACCTCACAGACCACCAGTGGTCCTTGGACCACCAGTTGGCGACCGCTGCCCTAGGCAGCATTAGAAACAAGGTGTAATTCAGTGCCAGGAAGCATGGCCCATGCCTTTCTCCAAATTACTGGAAGAAGGTTACAATAATGACGCATAGTATTTATGAGGCGACCAACAAAACATGTTATGGGGGGCGAAGAAAAGATAAGTACACAACTGAGAATCACCAAACACTTAAGGGAAATCAACACAATAAAAAACCACTAAACTCAACAAACAGAAGAATAGCCAAGGAAATAGCATTAAAAATATAAAATAAGGGAGAGAACTAAGATGGCGGCATAGGTTAACGCCGGAGTTTGCTGCTTTGAACACCTACTTCAAAAGTGAAACTAAAAGACGGAAGGGACATCACCCAGAACCACAGGAACGCTGGCTGAGTGGAAGTCCTACAACTAGGAGGAAAGAGAAACGCATACGGACACTCAGAGGAGGCGCAGTGCTGAAGTCAAATTCTGAGGTGCGGAGTGCGCGGAGCGGGCTGGCGGCGGAGGGCACGGTTGGCGTTTTCAATCGGGAGGGAGTCGCAGACTCTGAGCTCCAGATACAGGCGAGTCTCTAGGGACCCAGACTCAAACGGGAGAAGCGGGACTGTCTGGCTTCGGTCAGAGCGAGTGCAGCTTTCTCTCCGAGGTTTGCAGCGGGTGCTGGGACTCAGAGAGGCAGAGCCCCTGGGGACAGGACTGAGAGCCACCATAACTGCTCTCTCCGGCCCACCCTGTTGATCCTGTGCGACCCGCCCCGCCCAAGCCCTGCACACAGGCATTTGCCGGATAGCCTCAGGCAAAGGCCAGATTAGCACCTCCCTAGAGGACAGAAGTTCTCTCACTGCAGACACAGCTGATTCTCATAGCCACTTGGCCTGGAGGTCAAACCCTCCCTGGTATTAGCTACAACAATCAAGGTTTAACTATAAGACTGCGCACAAAGACCACTAGGGGGTGCACCAAGGAAGCATAACAAAATGCGGAGACAAAGAAACAGGACAAAATTGTCAATGGAAGATATAGAGTTCAGAACCACACTTTTAAGGTCTCTCAAGAACTGTTTAGAAGCTGCCGATAAACTTAATGAGATCTACAAGAAAACTAATGAGACCCTCGATCTTATATTGGGGAACCAACTAGAAATTAAGCATACACGGACTGAAATAACGACTATTATACAGACTCCCGACAGCAGACCAGAGGAGCGCAAGAATCAAGTCAATGATTTGAAATGCGAGGAAGCAAAAAACACCCAACTGGAAAAGCAAACTGAAAAAAGAATCCAAAAATGCGAGGATAGTGTAAGGAGCCTCTGGGACAGCTTCAAGCGTACCAACATCAGAATTATAGGGGTGCCAGAAGATGAGAGAGAGCAAGATATTGAAAACCTATTTGAAGAAATAATGACAGAAAACTTCCCCCACCTGGTGAAAGAAATGGACTTACAGGTCCAAGAAGCGCTGAGAACCCCAAACAAAAGGAATCCAAAGAGGACCACACCAAGACACATCATAATTAAAATGCCAAGAGCAAAAGACAAAGAGAGAATCTTAAAAGCAGCAAGAGAAAGAAACTCAGTTACCTACAAGGGAATACCCATACGACTGTCAGCCGATTTCTCAACAGAAACTTTGCAGGCCAGAAGGGAGTGGCAAGAAATATTCAAAGTGATGAATACCAAGAACCTACAACCAAGATTACTTTATCCAGCAAAGCTATCATTCAGAATTGAAGGTCAGATAAAGAGCTTCACAGATAAGGAAAAGCTAAAGGGGTTCATCACCACCAAACCAGTATTATATGAAATGCTGAAAGGTATCCTTTAAGAAGAGGAAGAGGAAGAAAAAGGTAAAGATACAAATTATGAACAACAAATATGCATCTATCAACAAGTGAATCTAAGAATCAAGTGAATAAATAATCTGATGAACAGAATGAACTGTTGATTATAATAGAATCAGGGACATAGAAAGGGAATGGACTGACTATTCCTGGGGGGGAAAGGGGTGTGGGAGATGCGGGAAGAGACTGGACAAAAATCATGCACCTATGGATGAGGACAGTGGGTGGGGAGTGAGGGCGGAGGGTGGGGCAGGAACTGGGAGGAGGGGAGTTATGGGGGGGGGAAAAAGAGGAACAAATGTAATAATCTGAACAATAAAGATTTAATTAAAAAAAAAATAAAAAAAAATAAAGGGCCAAAAGGTTGAGAACCACTGTTCTAGGAAAAAAATAAATAAATAAATAAAAAATAAAAATATAAAATAAGACTAATATCTTCAAGAGTTGTATGAATATACAACATCCACAAGAAAAAAACAATGAACTACATATAATTACTAGAAATTAAAAACATAACCATCGATATTAAATAGCTCAATAAGCCCAGAAATCGACCCGAAACAATATGCTCAATTAATATTTGACAATGGAGACAAGAACATACAATGGAGTCAAGACAGTCTTTCAATAAATGGTGTTGGGAAAATTGGATGGATACATGCAAAAAAATGAAACTAGACCACCAACTTACACCATACACAAAAATAAACTCAAAATGGATAAAGGACTTAAATGTAAGACGGGAAACCATAA